GTGGTGGCGGCCCGCGCAGCTTGGCGTCTACCAGCGGCTCCAGTGCTGTGACCTGCCAGTACCAGCTTCAGACCGGGCCTCTCCGCGGCACTCTGTGCCGCCGCCCGCACCCGACCGCCCACTGTTTCCGCCGCCTCGACGATCTTTTTCGTCGTCGCTTTGGCCCGGCCCCGGACCTCCCTGACTGGCACAGCCTGCTCCGCCAGGGCGTGCCGATCTTTGAGTTAGACATGGATCAGATAGGTGCTGCTTTGCATGCTTTGTATGCTGACGCTTCTAGTGTTGATGGATCTTACTACCATGTGTACTCTAGTTTAGGTGTTTCACCCTTGTGTAGCTTAGCTTCCCCTGCTGCGACAGGCGTAGGACTGCCTAGGTTGCCTAGTCTAGTCGCTGCACCGGCTCCGTCCGCGGCCTCCGCCACTGCGTCGCTGTCCTTCACTCTCGACTCTGGTGCTTCTGCCTGCTTCTTCCGCGACCGTTCCACGCTCACGCCGCTTGCTGCACCTGCTGTTGTCTCTCTCGCTGACCCCTCTGCGGGTCCGGTCGTCGCGCGCAGTTCTACGTCCCTTCCCTGTCCGGCAGTTCCCTCGGGCTCCCTTACTGGCCTCCACGTTCCCTCGTTCTCCAGGAACCTGGTTGGTGTCGGCTGTCTCCAGGACCTCGGCGTCACCACCACGTTCCCCGGGCACGAGCGGTTCGCTGTCTGTTCAAAGGCTGTCTCAGGTTCCCCCCTTGCGACGTTCCCCCGGGACCCGGTGTCCGGTCTGTTTACCCTACACACCACTTCCCCCCCGGTTGGTGCGTCCTCCCAGGTCGCTGCAGCTTGCTCGTGTCGGTCCCTCACTCACCCCTCCCTTCTCTGGCACCACCGCTTAGGTCACCCTGCTCTCCCGCGTCTGCGTCACATGTCCCAGCACGGTCTTGTCTTAGGTCTCCCCGCGTCGCTCCCTGCCCTTCCTCCCTCGACTGCGCCACCGTGCACGCCTTGCGTCGAGGGTCGGCTCCGCCGTGCTCCTCACTCCTCCTCGCTGCGTCCTGCTACTGCCCCCCTTCAGACCCTGCACTTGGACGTTTGGGGCCCTGCCCCCGTCCCCGGACCGCGCGGTGAGCGCTACTTCCTTGTGCTCGTTGACGACTACACGCGCTACACCACGGTGTTTCCCCTGGAGCGGAAGGCCGACGTGCCCGACGTTCTTCTCCCGTGGGTTGTAGCTGCGCGTCTCCACCGCGGTCTCCCCGTGTTGTGTCTCCACTCCGACCGTGGCGGCGAGTTCGCCTCTGGTCGGCTTGGACAGTTCTGTCGTGCGGAGGGCATCACCCAGTCGTACACCTTGCCGGACTCGCCACAGCAGAATGGGGTTGCTGAGCGCCGCATCGGCTTGGTCATGGAGGTCGCCCGTACCTCCATGATCCATGCCGATGCCCCCCATTTTCTGTGGCCGTTCGCTGTTCGCTACGCGGCTCACCAGCTTAACCTGTGGCCACGCTCCCAGCGGCCGCAGGTTTCGCCGACCCTCCTTTGGACCGGGTCCCCCGGTGACGCGTCTGCGTTCCACGTCTGGGGCTGCCTTGCTCACGTTCGTGCCTCTGGCACGGACAAGCTCACTGCCCGCACAGTCCCCTGTGTCTTCCTCGGTTTCCCCCTGGACTCGTCTGACTGGCTTTTCTACCACCCGCCGTCTCACCGCTTCCTCCACTCTCGTGACGTCACCTTTGACGAGTCCGTCTCCTTCTACCGCCGCTTCCCTCACCGAGGTCTCCCAGTTGCCCCCCCCCTTTTCCTTGCTCCCTCTCCCCCGGTAGCCCCTGCCCCTCTCTCGCCTCGTCCTGCCCCGTCTGGTGTCTCCCACGTCACTCCCCTCCCGTCGGTTGTCCCCGTTGAGGAGTCTGCTGACTCTGGTGGTACCCCCGGTCCGTCCTTGCCGCGTCCCCCTTCCCCAGTGCCTCCGCCCCCACTGTCGCAGTCGCCGACCCCGCTGCCGCCGCCGTCGCCGTCGCCGCCGCAGCCGTCGCCGCTGTCGCCGCCACTGCCGCCGCTGCTCTCGGCCCCTGGGGGTGCTGGTGTGGAGGAGGGTGTTCGTCCTGCGGCTTCTGGGGGTGCCGCTGGTGTTGGAGGGGGTTCTCGCTCTTGGGGTGTTGGTTCTGGGGGTGCTGCTGTTGAGTGTTCTGCCGACGGTCGTTCTGCCTCTGCTGGTCCGAGAGTTCCGGCCCAGCCGTCGTCGCCGCCACAGCAGCCGTCGCCGCCGGTTTCCGCTCTCCGCCTGCTCGGCCTTCCCTCCCCGGACCGCGCGCCGGTGTCTCCCCCACCGCCTCCTGACCTCCCTGTCTACGGTCCTGTGTTCCCGCCGCCAGACTCGTCTCCGGCCCGTCTTCCTCCTCGTTCCCCTCCTGTGTCTCCTCCGCTGTCCCCTGACCCTACCCCTCCGTCTCACGTTTGGGCTCGCCGTCCCTCCCGTGCCCGTCCCGTCTCTCCTGTCCTGCCCACCCACCCTATGTTGCTCCGTTCCCACTCGTCTCGTCCTCCCCTCCTCCCGTCCCCTCCTCCCTCGTCCCTTGCTGTTGCACCTCCTCCGTTCTCTGACTACCTCCGTGCTGCTCGTCCCCTTGTCCCTCGGGTCCTTGCCTCTCTTGTTACCGACCCTGCTGTTCCTGTCTCGCGCCTTGACGCGCTTGTCGCTGCTGTCGCTGACTTCGCTTCTACCCGCCGCCTTGACTACGCTACCGCTCTGGTCTCTGACCCTGCCCGTCCTCTGTCCGTCGGGGGTGCTCCTGCCCTTGGCAGTGACGTCCTAGAGGACAGGCAGTACGAGCTGGCTTTCCTTTCCGAGGCTGCTCCCCATCTCTGCTCCATGCTGTTAGGCCCTGAGGGTGACCCAGACGCCTTCGACATCCCGACCCCTCGCACCTACGCTGAGGCCACCTCGGGACCTTGGGCCTCTCAGTGGATAGCTGCCATGGAGCAGGAGATGGCATCTTGGAGATCCACCGGCACTTACGTCGACGCAGTTCCCCCGCCTGGGGTGAACGTAGTCGATGGTCGGTGGCTCTTCAAGGTGAAGCGCCCCCCTGGAGAGCCGCCTGTCTTCAAGGCGCGCTACGTGGCCAGAGGTTTCAGTCAGCGCGAGGGGGTTGACTTCTTCCAGACCTTCGCCCCGACCCCGAAGATGACCACTCTTCGGGCGCTGCTACACGTAGCAGCACAGCGTGACTACGAGCTTCACTCTCTCGACTTCTCTACTGCCTTTCTTCAGGGCAGCCTACACGAGCAGGTCTACCTGCGCCGACCACAGGGCTTCACTGGTACCTTCCCTCCTGGGACCCAGTGGCTTCTCAGGCGCCCGGTCTACGGCCTGCGTCAGGCTCCCCGCGAGTGGCACGACACGCTACGTGCCACGTTAGCAGACCTGCAGTTCTTTCCGTCCTCTGCTGACCCTTCACTGTTTGTGCGTTCCGGCCAGACTCCGTTCTACATCCTTGTCTACGTAGACGACCTGGTCTTCGCTACTCCTGACAGGGACGCACTGGCCTCTGTGAAGGCTGAGCTGCTGAAGAGACACACCTGCACTGACCTTGGAGAGCTGCGTCGCTATCTTGGCCTGCAGATCTCTAGGGACAGAGCAGCACGCACCATCACTCTGACCCAGTCACACTTGGTGCGTCAGGTCCTTCAGAGGTTCGGTCTTCAGTTCTCCTCCGCACAGCCCACACCTCTACCCGTAGACCATGGGCTCTCTGCTCCCGTTCCTTAGGAGCCAGTAGAGCCCAGTGGCCCCTACGCAGAGCTGGTGGGTTGCCTCATGTACCTGATGACTTGCACTCGCCCAGATCTCGCATACCCTCTCAGCATCCTGGCTCGCTTTGTGGCTACAGGCAGACACCGACCTCAGCACTGGTCTGCCGCTAAGAGGGTTTTGCGTTATCTTGCTAGTACATCAGGCATGGGGTTAGTGCTAGGAGGACGCAGGCCAGTGGTCCTTACTGGGCACACAGACGCTTCTTGGGCAGACGACGCTGAGACGCTCAGGTCGTCGCAGGGCTACTGTTTCAGCCTTGGTTCGGGTGCTATCTCTTGGAGATCCACTCGCTCGTCGTCTGTGGCTCAGTCTAGCTGTGAGGCTGAGATCTACGCTGGTGCCATGGCGGCACAGGAGCTCCGCTGGCTGACCTTCTTGCTCACAGACTTAGGTGAGCGGCCTAGCTCTGCCCCGGTCCTGTACGCTGACAACAGGGCCATGATACTCCTGTGTCAGGAGCCTCGGCTTGAGGGCAGAGCGAAGCATATCCAGCTGCGGTACTTCCTCCTGCGCGAGCTACAGCAGCGCCGCCAGGCCCGCGTAGTTCACTTGGCCTCAGGTGCCAACACAGCTGATATCTTTACTAAGGCGCTTGCGCCTAAAGATCATCAGCGGCACTGTGTACAGCTTGGTCTTGTTCCTATAGCTGCTCCCCTGTTAGGATCCTGATTGTGTACTCTCTATTATATATGCTTGTCAGACTGGCCTTGTGGCCTTACCTCCAGTGGCTGGACTAGTAGTGCCACCCTGGCTTGCTTCAGTTTTGGTTGTATTCTTGCTGACTGGTCTCCAGACCCCTGCCTCAGTGGTTGGACTAGTAGTGCCGCCCTGAGCTGTTTGCTTCTTGTTTAGTTTCACCCCTTGTCTAGCCTAGGGGGTGTGTCAACTTATACATATTATCTATGTAGAAGTTATAGGCTAGACTGAGGTATGCTTCTAGTGAGTACAACCAACTAGTATTTGTTCTAGGTTTCCACCTCTAGTAATCATTCGTTTCTACGTTAACATTAGAATCTGGAAAATGGGGGGGGTGCGTATCGTTGGCACATTCGATATGGCACCCCTCCGGATATACGCACCATGGTGCATTTTAGGTGGCGGTGCGTACGTCCGGGGGAATACGGTATTTGTCTGGTTAGGTTGTTCATGTTTGTATAGCCTAGTTAGGTCAGCTAATACAGTAGGGAGGATACTTCTCACGTTACTTGTATCCCCCCCTTCTCCCTTCCTAGTCACATTATTGGTCGCGCTACTTTCACACCCATTGCCCAGTCCACTAGAGAAGAGGGCACGGAACGGACAGAACCTGGCATCATTTCATATGGACTAGGTAGGTAGCGGTACCTAGGGACAGAATGGCAGCAATATCCAATCAATTACTATCTCTCCTACCTTACATCCCTATCATCCCGCAAGCGCCACCTTGAGATCCCATTGGCCTTCATTTCAAGCACAATGCCGCATCCACCAACCAGGTCCCCCTTATCCTACCTGCGACAGTACACTCGTCTCATCCCGCAAGCTCCGCCTTGAGCTCCCCATTGGCTTTCATTTCAAGCACGATGTCGCATCCACCAACCAGCTCGCCCTTGTGGTACAGCTGCGGGTACGTGGGCCAATTGGAGAGCGACTTCAGCCCCTGCCTCACTTCCTCGTCCGCTAGAATGTCAAAACTGCCGAACGGGATCCCTTCTGAGCGCAGTGCATCCACCACCTTGCGGCTGAACCCACACCGGGGCTCCTCAGGGGTGCCCTGTGAGGCATACAGACAGCGGGACAGGGAGAAGGGGGAAGGCGTGTGTCACTCCTGCCTCACGGCCTCATTAGCCAGGATGTCAAAACTGCCGAATGGGAACCACTCTGATCACAGCGCGTCCACGACCTTGCGGCTGAAGCCACACCGAAGCTCCTCAGGGGTGGCCTGACCCGAAGGGAATAGAACAGGATAGTAGTGGTCACAGGGGGGTGAAGGGGGGAAGGCATGTATTGACCTGTATGCCTCGCTGCTTTGTCTGCCAGAATGTAAAACTGCTGAATAAAAAGCCTTGACCTTCAAGGCGTCGACAACCTTGGGGCTGAACCCACAGCAGAGCTCTTACGGCGTGCCTTGAAGCGGACAGCAAGGGATAGCACGGAGAGTGGGATGGCGGGCAGAGAGGAGAAGCCCACCGAGAACGGCCATACATACCGCGGCCATACTCTCAGCTCCTCTCTGCACTCCCACACACCGCGGCCATACTCTTGGCTCATCCTACTGACAAGCCCTTGTTATATCTTATCGTACACACCCTGCGGCCATACTCTCAGCTCCGAACCACACCTTCACAAACAGCATGGTGCGTGATGATGGGCGGATCACCAGCACCTGCTCTTCCTAATCACAGGCCCTTGTCATGGTCTACTCGCCACAGTCACAGCCTCGGCTCCTATCCCCACCTCCATGAATACGAAAGCGGGTGATGGTGAAACCAGCGCCTCCGGTCGCTCTTGCTATCATTAGACCTGCCTGTGCTCCGGTCGCTCCGGTCGCTCTTGCTTTTGCTCCAGTGCAGCCATCACTGGTTACCATCACTACTGCCTGTGCAACCATCAATACCCCAGAAATGGCAGTCGTGGTATGCCACCACTGCAGAGATAGGCAAAACCTTCCCCTCACTCCCATCATGCCCACTTTCTCCTCACTCCCATCATGCCCACCCACCTTCATAAAGAGCATGGTGGGTGATTTCGAGACGAGTGCCTGTAGCCGCTCTTGCAACCCCTTCTCTCCGCCCACCTTCCCATCAGCTACTGTTGCCCCTGCTCCTGTTGCCCCTGCTCCTGCTGCTTCACTTGCTACTGCTGCTGCACCACTCCCTCCTCCACCCACCACCCCCTTTTCCACAAACAGCTCCTTCAACTCTCCACTCTCGTGCATCTGCAGCACGATATCGCACCCCCCCACCAGCTCCCCCTTACAGTACACCTGGGGGAAAGTCGGCCAGTCACTATACACCTTCAAACCCTGCCTTATCTCCTCATCACCTAGAATATCAAACGACCCATACGCTCCAGAAGCCGCAGAGCCTAAGTCCTTTTCGAGCACAGATACGACTTTAGAGGAGAAGCCGCAGCGGGGGGCGCTGGGGGAGCCTTTCATGAAAAGGAGCACCGGGTGGGAGGCCAGGAGAGCCTCGATCCGAGCCTTCAGGTCCGGGGACAGCTTCGGCTTGTCCGAACCTGCGGGCGGAGCGATCATTCTGGAGGGCTGCTCTGGCTGGGTATTAGGATCGGTGGAAGACGCAGTAGCAGGAGTAGCAGCAGGTGGTGTGGAGTAAGAGGCGGTGCGGGCAGAATGAAGGACGGATTCGATGACCTCAGCAGCAGCAAAGCCGCCAGCAGTGACGGCTGGGGACCGTGCAGCCACGTGCAGAGCCACCTTGTGGGACAGCTCCGGAGGATTGGCGCCCTCTAGCCTGTCGACCACCTTGCCATCCTGTTGATAGTGGGGATGGGAGAAGCAAAGAGGAGTGAGTGATAGGGTGAGACCAAGGGAGGGTGCAGCAAAGTACAGTGTCACCTTGTGGGCTAGCTCAGAGGGGTTGGCTCCCCCTAGCCTGTCAACCACATTGCCATCCTGTTGTAGTAGGGTGGGGAGAGGAAGACAGGGTGAGGGATAGGGTGAGACCAAGGGAGGTTGACGCAATGTGCCATCTTGTGAGTGTCAATACCCCAAGTTCGGCTTAAAAGTGGAGGCGGCCAGAGCTGGGAAAGCAGTGACTGCTGACGGAAAAGTAATTGCTATGTCAACTCAGTAGGCACTTGTTGTGATGGGACGTAACGGCCAGTGTGTTGGCCTCTTATTCGACTACTAACCCACCTTGACAACTGGCAAAGAAAGAAGCCAATGAAAAAGGAGGGCGCCTTGAGGAAGGGTACGGCCGCCACAGAGTAGGCCTCTCGGAGAGGTCAGAAGGTTACGGCACACTAAAAGGAACCAAGGAAGGAAGATTACGGCACACTAAAAAGAACGGCCAACACAGCGTATGTCTGTGAAAGGTCATTTGCGTGGACTCAAAAGGAAGGTAGGCACCGCACCTTGAAGAAGAGGAAGAAGGGTACGGCCGACACGGAGTATGTCTCGGAGAGGTCAGGCACCTCCTCTGCCTCCACCTGTGGGGAGCAACGAGAGGCAGGAGGACACGGAGTGTAGCACAGCGCAGTGAGGGTGGAGAGAGGGAGTAGGGAGCTTGGCTCGGTTTGATACGGTTTAAAGAACTCAGCAGTCGGCTGCTTGCTCTAGGACTTTCCCTCTAATGATCTTCGCATGGGGGATCTCTTTCAAACAGTTCAAACGCCACGTCCGTGTGCTTGCACCTACACACACATCATAGCTCTCCACACTTACCCGTAGAAACTTTGCGTGGGGGTTCTCTGCTGCGAGCTGCGCAAACACCACGTCCATGTGCTTGCACGGCTCGCACCATGCCGCCCAGAAATGCACCGCCACTGGCGCCCCTTCCTTCACTGATGTGTTGAACGCCTCTGCTGACGTCACCTCTGTTACAGCCATGGCTGGTTGCTGGGGGTTGAGGGGGAGTGGGAGAGAGCGAGGAGAGAGATCCGAGGAACGGCCGAGCAAGGGGAGGGGAATCAACCGGGGGGGGAGAAGGAAAAGAAAACGAGAGCGAGAAGGAAATGGGGAGGAGGAATGAGGAGGGAGAGGGGAAAGGGGAGTTGAAGAGCGGATTTGGCAGAGGGAAGGGGAGGGGGTGGATGCACACGGAAAAAAGGAGAAGAAAGAGGAAGAAGGGAGAAGGGGCAACATGGACAAGGAGAGAAGGTGGGGGGGGGGGAGAGGAGAGAAGGTGGGGTGGGGTTGTGAGGAAGGGGGTGAAGGGAGGGTGTGTGGGTGTCAAGGGGTAGGTGACGTCGCACAACAAATCACAGGTTGGTAACGTCCCCAGGTACACACTACGAGCGGCGCGCGTTTTTATCTGAGTGACGTCACAGCACGGCATGCGGACGTAACACGGAGTACAATGCGTGTTTAACCCCCTCTCTCAACACAGGATCCGAAAGTTCAACACAGCTCGCATGTTTAACCCCCTCTCTCTTGCCGAATCTGATTTTCCTCGCGACGATTATCCATCTCACCAGACACTAGTGGACTCACAGCAAGTACTGGCAGGCGCGATCGCAACGAACCGCGGCGAGGGTCCGGGAAGTTGGAAAGTAGACTCAAAAGGTCGTCCTACTCAGCACTCCAAAGGGCGTCCCGCCAGGAAAGATTTGGAACCACGTGTCAAAGAAAGGGAACAAACGGAGAATAGCAGGCTGCAGCAGGCGATGGGGCGTGTGGAAGAAGTTTCTCGAAATATGACAGCAGCCGAGAATTCTCTGTGTCCATACTCGCTGGGAACTTCTACCCGCTATAATTGTGAAGACGGTTGACACTCTGGTGTTCAAGGTGAGGGTGGATCTTCAAAAATTTATATGAAAGGAAGATTCTACCCGCTATTATATATATTTATTCAAGGTGTCACGTTGTAAATGTGTATGCATGACTTCTTTGGCATCATTCTTACCTCTCATGTGGTAAGAAATAAATAACAATCGTAGCTTGAATATTCATAACACACACGGGTTTTTCTTTCCGACCAATCAGATAAATCCACATGCGAACCAGATAAGCTTGCCCGCCAATCAGGTCCCCTCCCAGACCAATAGGGGCGTTCTTCCTGATGCTCTCCCACAGGGACCCAAATTCCTCTATTTCCTCAGTAGCGTCTACTATCTCACATTTCCTCCATTTCTTACGTGCTGTTCTAAGAGGTTGATTGGCCGCCATGGTAGTAGCAAGCTCGTTGTGCTGCAGCCACGCGCTTGGGCTGAAGCCGCTGCATTCTACCGTTAATGGAACGCGTAGACTAATATCCTCTACGAGCCTTCAGGCATTCACACCCCGCCGCTCAGCTCCTGGCAATGCTCGCATCGAACGGTCCGACAGGCGAAATGTTCGCATCTCAGCCGTCAATGTCGCTGCCGAGAGTGCGACGGCGTCGCAGGGGTCGGAATCGGAGCTTCTGGATTGGATGACCGCCAATGGCCTCCCGCCGTGCAAAGTGACGCTCAAGGAGCGGCCCGGAGCCACTCCCGAGGAAGATTCGATCCGATACGTGGCGGCTAGCGAGGATCTGCAGGCAAGATCTTAGGATACGCGAGTCTGCACTGTTTCAGGCATCCAGCTCTTTACTAGTTTCGCAGTTACTGCGTTGACCTGGTTCTTAGCCAGAGATACTGGTGGAGCCAGAGGGGGTTCTAAAGCTTAATTCCTCGTGGTCTCGTCTTCTTTTCGATCGCGTGCAGGCTGGTGACGTTCCGTTGAAGGTTCCCGACAACCTCATTGTGACGCTGGGGCGAGTGCTGGGCGACGAAACCCTAGGTATGGCCTCCGTGGCCGTATGGCCTCCGTGTCATTCCATGTCCGTCTCGTTTGAATGGCCGTTTAGTTTCCCTCAGTTCCCTTCTGCCTATCCGACCACCGTCACTTCCCAGTCAACTCCCACACGGTCAACGTGCCATTCGATCGACCTTGTATCCTGGCCCGTCACCAGCTGTCCTGCGATAGAAGCACGCTGAATGCTGAAGATATAAATGAAACGGACTGCACCCATAATCAGGGCGTGTTTGAGTCGCGATTGATTAAACGGAACATTTAGAGAGTTCTCGAATTTTACTTCAGTGAAATGGGTCACATCCGTCATCAGGACATGTTTGAGCCGTGTCAGAATCAACGGAACTTTTTTAGAAGTCTCAAAATACACCCAATCGAAACGGATTAAACCCATCATCAGGGCGTGTTTGAGCCAAGGCTTATCTCCCCGCTCTCTCTCCCTTCCCACTCTGCTTTTGAGTCGACTCAGACGCGGCTTCTGAACCAACAGAACCACGCGGTGTGAAATGCTGCCACCAAGGCTTATCTCTCCTCTCTCTCTCCCCCTTTCCACTCCCCTCGCCGGCCCCATCCCAACCAGCCGAGCTGCTCACAACCAACAAGCTGTCGGAGCTGGCGTCTTTGGCGCCGTACCTCATGCTCGAGTTCTTCTGCCGCCCTTTCACTCCCTTCCCCCCGCTTCTCCTCCTCCCTTTCTCTCTCTTCCCACTCGCTCTTCCCCCCCCCCCTTCTCCCACCCGCGAACCCCCAGCCGAGCTGCTGACGACCAACAAGCTATCGGAGCTGGCGTGCCTGGCGCTGTACCTCATGTTCGAGAAGAAGCAGGGTGACGAGTCCTTCTGGCGGCCCTTCATCAACGAGCTGGACAGGCAGAGGGGGCGAGGCCAGACAGCGGTAGAAACCCCGCTGCTGTGGGAGCCGGAGGAGGTGGCAGAGCTGTTCCAGGGGAGCCCCATGAAGGTGAGGCGGAGGAAGGTTGTGGGGAGGTCGAGGGAGGGACCAAGTGCTTTCTGGCGGCCCTTTCATTGATGAGCTCGACAGGTCGCGGGGGCGGGGCCGCGTGCTTTCTGACGGCCGTGGCGACCCCGCTGCTATGGGAACCAGAAGAGGTGGCAGAGCTGTTCAAAGGCAGCCCTAGGAAAGTGAGAGTAAGGTTGCGTGGAGGCAGACAGAGGGAACACGTGCTTTCTGGCGGCCCTTTCATCACTGAGCTCCACAGGCAGGGGGGGCGAGGCCAGACGACCGTGGCAACGCCGCTGCTGTGGGAAGCCGAGGAGGTTTAGAAGGCGAGGCTGGAGATATCTTCAGGAAGGACCGTTAAGTGCAGTCCAATGGCAGTGCTTCAAGTGGCAGCTGAAACGAATGCGGGGGAATGGTTGGAGCAGGGGGAGCGGGGAGAGGGAGGGAGGGGGGGAAGGTGAGGGGGGGAGGGTGAGAGGGGGCCAGTAGGGGGCGAGGGAAATTGCAATCATGGCTGTTTGAATGCGTAAGCGGAGGGGAGGCGAGGCCGCAGGGCGTCAAGAGGGAGTACGAGGAGCTCGTCATTGTGCAGTCTCTCTCTCTCTCTCTCTCTCTCTCTCTCTCTCTCTCTCTCTCTCTCTCTCTCTCTCTCTCTCTCTCTCTCTCTCTCTCTCTCTCTCTCTCTCTCTCTCTCTCTCTGTTCGCATCTTCTCCGTGTCTTCTACTTGACCCTTCTGAACACAATATCCCACATGCCTCCCTCCCATCCGCACTATCTGAATGCACCAGGCGGAGGTGGAGGCGAGGCTGCAGGGCATCAAGCGGGAGTACGAGGAGCTGGACACGGTGTGGTTCCTGGCTGCCTCCCTCTTCAAGGTGAGGCCACATGCGCGTGCAGACTGCAGGGATGTGATGTGACACACGTGTGGGAGGCTGCTGGGTAAAGGTTGCAGTGCGAGTGAGCCTGATCACGAGAGAATTTGAGGTGCTGGTCACGGTATGGTTCCGTGCTGCCTTCTTTCAAGGTGAGGGCCATGCGTTTGGGATGCGTATTTGTGAGTGAGGCATGTGCGTGCGTATGTGTTGTGTGACATTGTAACGAGGTGACTTTTGAGTCGACTCAAAAGTCACCTTGCTGCCGTCTTTCAACGTGAGGGCCATGTGTTTGTGATGCATGTTTGTGAGTGAGGCATGTGCGTGCGAATGGTAGTGTGAGCGTATGTGAGTGAGGCTGCAATGCATGCCCATCACGAGAGAATGCGAGGAGCTGGCTGGACACTGTGTGGTTTGTATGCTGCCACGCTCTTCAAAGTGGGGCCATGCGACATGTGTGTGTGTGATGCCATGTGACATGTGTGTGTGTGATGCCATGTGACATGTGTGTGTGTGATGCCATGTGACATGTGTGTGTGTGATGCCATGCGTGCTGCACTGCACACACATTCAAGGCTTGAACATAACCGCACCATAAGTTCCTTCCACTTTTCAACCCCTCCTTCTCAAAACCCTCCACTTTGATCCCATTATTCCACTTCGATCCTTCCCCCCCCCATCTCCCCCCCACCCCTTAACCCGCACCCTTCTTCAACCCGTATTGTCCGGCGCAGCAATACCCCTACGGCACCCCATCAGAGACCTTCCGTTTTGAGATCTTCAAGCAGGTGTTCATTGCCATGCAGTCATGCCCCTATACCCAGGCGTTGCCAGGCCCCCACTCCCGTGACGCCCGTCCTCCCCTTACCGCCCTCCCCTCTCTCCCCCCCACCCCCCCCCCTCCCCCGGACTGCCCCCCAACAGCAATACCCCTACGACACGCCCTCTGAGACGTTCCCCTTTGAGATCTTCAAGCAGGCGTTCATTGCCGTGCAGTCATGCGTGGTGCACCTGCAGGTGAGAGTCAGTGCAGTCCTGCGTGGTGCACCTGCAGGTGAGAGTCAGTGCAGTCCTGCGTGGTGCACCTGCAGGTGAGAGTCAGTGCAGTCCTGCGTGGTGCACCTGCAGGTGAGAGTCAGTGCAGTCCTGCGTGGTGCACCTGCAGGTGAGAGTCAGTGCAGTCCTGCGTGGTGCACCTGCAGGTGAGAGTCAGTGCAGTCCTGCGTCGTGCACCTGCAGGTGAGAGTCAGTGCAGTCCTGCGTGGTGCACCTGCAGGTGAGAGTCAGTGCAGTCCTGCGTGGTGCACCTGCAGGTGAGAGTCAGTGCAGTCCTGCGTGGTGCACCTGCAGGTGAGAGTCAGTGCAGTCCTGCGTGGTGCACCTGCAGGTGAGAGTCAGTGCAGTCCTGCGTGGTGCACCTGCAGGTGAGAGTCAGTGCAGTCCTGCGTGGTGCACCTGCAGGTGAGAGTCAGTGCAGTCCTGCGTGGTGCACCTGCAGGTGAGAGTCAGTGCAGTCCTGCGTGGTGCACCTGCAGGTGGGATTAGATGCAGTGATGCGGTGCACCTGCAGATATGCCAAGTCACCACCTTGCGCAGTGCATGCATGCAGGAATGTTTTTGTTGTTCATAGGGTCTCAACCCCATATGTCCACGTCTCCTTACATCCACTCCTCCTCCTCCCCCCTTTCCCAAGAATCATGTGATCTTTTCAACCCCTCCCCTTATCCCCCCTACTTACCCCCTCATTGTACTCCCTTGCTATCCCCCTCGCCTCATCCCTCTCACACCTTTTCCTCGCAGGAAGTGAGCATTCCCCATCGCTTTGCCCTAATCCTCATGCCCAGTTTTGAGGCGCCTCAAAACTATTCCCCATCGCTTTGCCCTAATCCCCATGCCCACCTCTCCTGCCTACACCCTTTCCCTTGCCACATGTCCACTCCTCGTTCTCTCACCCCATTTCCCCCAGGGAGTGAGCCTCCCCCGTCGCTTCGCCCTCATCCCCATGGGCCCACCTCTCCTGGCATACCGCAGCACCACTCGCTCCATGCTCGCTGCCTCGCCTGATGGCGGCGTGGAGCTCAGGCTAGATCGCCCTGTCAAGGCAGGGGAGCCCCTCAGTGTGTGGTGAGTGCGTCATTGCTACTTGACTCTCTACTGCCTGCTGACCCACTCCTTGCCTACCGCAACACTTTTGAGCCGACTCAAATGCCTGGTGACCCGCTCCTTGCCTACTGCAGCACCACTCGCTCCATGCTCGCTGCTTCCTAAGGACTTTACTACTGCATTCTCTCCTCTCTGCCCTTGAGCTGAGCCCCCTTGAGCCATTTCCTCAATTCCTCTTCGAGGGGACCCTTCATCCACCACGCACGAGCGCATCCAGTTAGTGCACCGCAGTATTGATTCGCCTCAGGCACACTCATCGTTCCCCCCAGCTAGGCTAATGAGTCCAGCCAGGGCTCAATCGACTCAGAAGAAACTGTGTATTGCACCCCCGTCAACGCGCACTCTGACTTGGTGTCGGCCCCAGCCCAACACGCATCTGCCGCTCAAATATGGCGTAGTGGACGAGTTGGGAGGCACCTCTAACCATAGTGTTCCTTCTAAATACGCTGACACTGCATCTCCCCTACCCCGCTTGCTACTCCAGGTGTGGCCCCCAGCCCAACATGCGTCTACTACTCAACCACAGCATTGTGACTCGTGTCAACAAGGCGTGCTTCCCTTAAACCCTCTCCCCCAACCCACCCCCCCACCGCCCTCTGCCCTTCACTGCACCCCTGTCAGGTGTGGCCCACAGCCCAACACCCGTTTGCTGCTCAACTACGGCATTGTGGATGAGGATAACCCCTATGACCGCCTCACAGTCCAGGTGGGTGCAGTGCGGTATGCAGGTAAAAGAGGGGAATAGTGCAGGTAAGAGGAAAGGAAACCTGGTACTTGCCAACTGCGACGGCATGGTGGACGAGGAGAGCTCTCTATGCTAGGGAAGTTATAGGGATAGGCAGAGACACAGTGCACACATCGTGTCGTGATAGGGAGGTTGTACACACTTGCGCTGTTAGAAAGGGAAGTTGGGGGAAGTGGTCGCCATAGTGATAGGGAAGTTATAAACTCGGCTGTTTATAAATGCTGCGCCATCGTGATAGGGAACACATGCTGCTCTCGTCATCTGCTGCATCATTTCTGCCCCCTTGAACCCAGGTGCCACTGAACCCGACTCACTGCGCAAGGCCACTGTGCCAGACCACTTTGCCAGAACACTTCGCCAGACCACTGTGCCAGACCACTGTGCCAGACCACTGTGCCAGACCACTGTGCCAGACCACTTTGCCAGACCACTGTTCCAGGCAAAGCGAGTTACGAGCACCTCAACTCGTCCTTTGTCTCCTGCTGCCCCTTCTCTCCCATCTTTTCGTCCACAAGCTACAGTGGAGCCATTCGTCCAGCATTTTTTAGGAGAATTCTCAAAAATGACTCGTCCTCTGTCTCCTGTTGCCCCTTGTCTCCCATCTTTTCATCCACCGGTGGCTCTCAACCCCAACGACCCGCCCTACCAGGCCAAGCAAGTAAGAAGCCCACCCCCCCCCCCCCCATCCCCAACTTCCCGCCCCCCTTCCCCCACGCTTCTTCCCCAGGTGGCTCTGAACCCCGACGACCCGCTCTACCAGGCGAAGCGAGCCATCGTGCAGAAGAACGACCTGCTGCGCACTCAGGACTTCCAGGTGATTCCCCAGATGCAGTTTCAGGCGATTTTCCGAGTGGAATTTCAGGTGATTGTCCAAGTGGATCCTCAGGTGATTGTCCAGGTGCACTTCCAGTTGAATGTTTGGATGGACCCAGGTGATTCTTTGGATGAACCTGGGTTGTTTCTACAGCATGATGCCATGCCCACGCCTGCCTGGCAATGTCACCAACCCGCTTGATGCCATGATCAAGTTTCCTGTCAGCTCAACGACGCCCTCCTCCACACGATAAAGAATACGTCTCCCTCCTCCCCCCCCGTCCCCATTCCGCCTGCTGTACAAGGGCAAGGAGCACGCAGCCCTGTAGACATGATGCCGTACCTGTGCCTTTTGTCAATGCTGGCATTGACCGACCCGACACTCCCTTTGCACTCTACCAATTCCCCCACCAGCTGTACAAGGGCAAGGAGCACACAGCTCTGTACGACATGATGCCCTACTTGCGCCTGGCGCATGTCACCGACCCCCTCGACATGGAGTTCGTCACCTTCGCTCAGGGGCCAGTGTGCGGGGTGAGTGACTTTTGAGGCGCCTCAACAGGGGCCAGTGTGCGGGGCGAGTGACTTTTGAGGCGCCTCAACAGGGGCCAGTGTGCGAGGTGAGTGTGTGCCTTTGTGTGGTGAAGCGATGGGATGCCAGCCATACTTGCGCCTGGCGCATCTCACCGACCCCCTCGACATGGAGTTCATCACCTTCGCCCAGGGGCCTGTGTGTGGGATGAGTGTGTGCCTTTGAGGTGCTACGATGGGGTTTTTGAGAATTCTCAAAAATCATCTACAACAGGGGGTGAGTGCGGGCCTGTGTGGTGCTACGATGGGATGCATGCCCTACATGCGTCTCACACATGTCACCGCCCCCCTCTACATGGGGTTCATCACCCTCGCCAGGGGCCTGTGTGCGGGGTGAGCTAGATGGGTGGTACCTGGGCCTGTGTACAGGGTGAGTAGGAAGTGTTTGGGATGCATAGGGTGGTTACCTAGGGCCTGAGGGCGAGTGTGGGATGCATTCCGCCTCGCACATGTCACCGACCCACTCTACATGGAGTTCGTCACCCTCTCCTAGGGGCCTGTGTGCGGGGTGAGTAGGAAGTTTTTGGGATGCGATGGGGTGGTTAACTAGGGCCTGTGGGTGAGTGCGGGATGCATTGAGGCTTGCGCATGTCACCGACCCCCTAGACATGGATTTTGGCACCTTCGCCCAGGGGCCTGTGTGTAGGGTGAGTGAGGGTATGTGTGTGGGAGTGAGTGAGGGTATGTGTGTAGGGTGAGTGAGGGTATGTGTGTGGAATGAGTGAGAGGCAATGAGGGGATGCAAAGAGTGGTAGCTACAGCCGAAGCCGCAATATGAGGCATTGCGTACGAAGCATTGCATACGAAGCATTGCATACGAGACGGATAATTCTTTTTTTATAGCCTCCTCCCTTCCCCCCCTTTTCATGCACACATGTGAGTCCGTGCAAGGGGAATGCAGTGCTGGGTCAGCTGGTGGATAGAGAGACCCCGTGGGTTGCCCTGTTCATTCAACTCGTCTCCTGGCATTCTTTCTGTATCTAGTCGACTCAAAAGAGAGTCAGTGGGTTACCTTGTCCATTCAACTCAGCACATCTCGTCCTTGCATTCATCCCCTGTCCCCATTTTCACCCACAGGTGAGTCCGTGCAACGAGAATGCAGTGTTGGATCAGCTGGTGGAGTTCTTGGAGGGCAGCCGTGTTGTGTTTCCGTGTCCATTCGTCTCATCTCCCTGTCTATCCTTCTCATCTCCCTGTCTATCCTTCTCATCTCCCTGTCTATCCTTCTCATCTCCCTGTCTATCCTTCTCATCTCCCTGTCTATCCTTCTCATCTCCCTGTCTATCCTTCTCATCTGCCTGACTGTCCTATCCCCTGTCCCCCTTTTCTTTCACCCACAGGTGAGTCCGTGCAACGAGAATGCAGTGTTGGATCAGCTGGTCGAGTTTCTGGAGGGCAGACTCGCGGCCTACCCCACCACTCTGGAGGAGGATATTGCTGCGGTAAGAGATGACTTGTTAACACGGCTTAGTGGAGATGATATTGCTATGGCCCTGTGCCCATCCCACTCACCAGCATGCCCCTGTGCCCATCCCACTCACCATGCCCCTGTGCCCAAATCTTTCCATCACCATGCATTCCATTCCTCCCCCATCCGCCCTCCCCCCAACCCTCTCCCCCTGCTCCCTGCTCCCTGCCCCCTGTTCCCTGCCCCCTGCCCCCTGCCCCCTGCCCCCTGCCCCCTGCCCCCTGTGCATTCACTTACGGATCTCTGACCCCACAGCAATCCCCAAGAGGAAGCGGCAGCACAGCTGGTGCGCATGGAGGAAGGAATGTTGGGCAGCACGCTGGCAGCAGTCGAGGAGGTCACTGCTGCTTCGCTCTTCCCATCCCCCTCCCCCCTGCCCCCCCCATGTTCCCTGCCCCTGCGCCTGCCCCTGCCCCTGCCCCTGCCCCTGCCCTTGTCCCATGTGCATGCCCCCACAGATCGCAGACCCTGCTACCCAACGCAAGAGGCACATGGCGACACGGCTGGTGCGCATTGTTAAGGAGATTCTGAGGAATGCACTGGCAGCGGTGCAGGAGATGATTGTTGCTCCCCCTCTCTTGTTCCCCTGCACCCTGCTCCCCCTACCCTGCTCCCCCTACCCTGCTCCCCTGTTCTCGTGTGCACGCACCCACAGATCGCAGACCCCGCAACGGCTCCCAAGAGGAGGGTGGCAGCGCGGCTGGTGCGCATTGAGAAGGAGATTCTGAGGAACGCACTGGCAGCAGTGCAGGAGGTGATTGCTGCCCTGCCCAATGGGAGCGAGTCGCCCTGCTACAGCCAGTACAGGCCCATCCTCAAATGAGCTACAGTAGTCACCGCCAAAATTTAGCAGTGCAGCATAGCTATTATATGATACAATCAGCACTGTGCCTTGTCATGTGCCGGAAAGATAAGAGAACAATTGTGCTCAACGCTTCAGTGTACACAGCCTGATAAAAACAATTGTGAAAAAGAATATTAACGACCATTGAACTGGCTAGCAAGCTTCGGGAAGATGCAAGCTGGGAACATCACAACCTTGTCAACATATATTCATATATTGTTATAGGCTAGATAGGTGCATGCTCATAGAGTACAGCACCATAGCACAAAACCTCTGTATATGCCTCATTCTAGTCATTGCGTTATTCTGAGATGGTATCAGCTAGGTTAGGTCCGCTCACCCGCCCTAGCCACCCTAGCCCGCCCTAGCCCGCCCTAGCCGCCCTAGCTGGCTGCTTGCCCCTCGCGCGCCAACCCCTCACTCGCTGGCCCTGCGCTCGCTGGCCCTAGCGCCGGCCCCTCGCCCGCTGGCCCCGCGCTCGCCGGCCCTAGTTCGCCGGCCGCTTGCCCGCTGGCCCCGCGCTCGCCCGCTGGCCCCACTGCCCGCCGGCCCTAGCTCGTCGGCCCTAGCGCGCCGACCCTCGCTTGCCAGCAGCCCGCTGCCCGCCGGCCCTAGCTCGCTGGCCCCGCGTGCCGGCCTCTGCTCGCCGGCCCGCTGCTCGCCGGCCCCAGTTCCCGCCGGCCCCAGCCCGCGCCGGCCCCGACTCCCGCCGGCCCCTGTCCGCGCCGGCCCCTGCTCGCCAGCCCCTGATCGCTGGCCCCTGCTCGCGCCGGCCCCAGCTCCCTCCAGCCCCTGCTCGCCGGCCCCTGCTCGTTGGCCCCTGCTCGCCGGCAACTGCTCGCCGGCCCCTGCTCGCCGGCCCCAGCTTGCCGGCCCCGGCTCCCGCCGGCCCCATTCCGCACCGGCCCCTGTCCGCGCCGGCCCCTGTCGCCGCCGGCCCTAGCCGCGCTGCACCGCCGAGCCGCCGAGCCGCCGAGCCGCCGAGCCGTCGAGCCGCCGAGCCGCCGAGCTGCCGAGTCGCTGTGCTACCGGGCCAACCCGCCGGCCTTGGCTCCCCCTCTGCGCCAGCGCTCTCGCCGGCCGTCTCCGCCGCCGCTCTCCACCGCTCTCCACCGCACTCTCCTCCTCCACCTTTAGCGGTTGTCCGCTGCTGCAGCCGTAGCGATGGCGGACGCTGTGCTCCGCCTGGACGCGTAGGGTCGGGCGATCGACTTTGAGGCATGGCTCGCCGACCTCCGCCACTCGCTAACGGGTCAACGTCAGGATGGCCAGTCCCTGGTCTTCCACATCGACGGTAAGATCCCCTGCCCCGACCCGCCTTCTTCTCTCTCTGACACCCCCACGCCCGCTAAGCGTGAGGCCTTTGCAGTTGCTGAGCTCGCCCGCTCTGTTTGGGAGTCGCGCGACGTAGTTGCGCATCTTGCTATCAGTCGCGCCCTCTCCCTGTCCGAGCGTCCCCGCTTTCAGACCGTAGAGACTGCGAAGGAATTTTAAGATGCTGTCATTGCACGCTAATCCACTCCCTTCTCCGCCTCTACCGGCCATTTCTTGCTCCCCCTGCTCTTTCCTGATCTCGCGTCCTTCCCCACTGTCTGCGCACGCTTGAGACTAGCTACCGTGCTGCTAGCACTAAGGCCCAGCTCACTGTATTGCCTCCCTCCATCGGCGCTACCCTCTACTTCATTGCCACGCGCCTCGCCGACTGCATAGCCACTGCCCGTAACCCCTTCCTAGGTCTCCACCTCACTGACCTCACCATTACCGAGATCGTCACCACCGTGTCTGCGATAGAGACTCCCCAACGCGCTATCGCTCAGTCCAACTGTCACAGGATCGAATGTGTCGAGGACAGGTTGCACTATCGATCAGTACAAGGCGCTTTTATACTTCCAAAGTACATCAGGTAACCAGGTTTATCTTATCCTAAGGGAATAGACCCTTCTAGAAGATAGAATCACCTTGCGTATAGCCATGCGAGGCTATTGGCTTTAAGGGATTACGGCAGGATTACGCCAGATAGCGCACCAGTACATCCCAAGCCTGGTCGGTGATATAATTACAATAGCAGGATAAACCAAAGGTTAAGGGAAAAGGGAGAATAGGAAACCAAATGAGATGAGAGAAATGAACGAGGAAGGAAATAAGAAAAGGGACAAGTGGTGTAACGGGGTCGTACTCTCACACCAACGGTACTGCGGCCGTCACTATCTTCCATAGTTGTGCTCCCTCCCAGTGCAATTCCTCTGACGTGTCTGCTGCTGTCGCCGAAACAGCTCCTGCTGCTGAGACCGCCGCGGCGGCCTCAGCGCAATCTCGTTCAAGTAGGGGCCGCCGCCCTAAGGGGGGGCGTGGCAGAGGGAGGGGTGGTGGCGGTGGCGGCGGTGGTGGAGGTGCTGCGAGTGCCGGTGGTGCTGACGAGGGGATCGGGGCTGATGCCCTTACGCAACAGCAGTAGCAGTCGCAGCCGCAGCAGCAGCTACAGCCCCAGCAGCAGCAACAATCGCAGCAGCAGCAGCCGTGGGGACCTCCGCCGCCATGGTGGCCTGGCGTCTTTGGTGGTGGCGGTTGCGGTGGCAGCACACGCAGCTCGGCGTCGAGTGGCGGCTCCAGTGCAGTGACCTGCCAGTACCGGCCCCCATCGCGGCACAGTGTGCGACCGTCCCAGTCACACCGCCGCTCACTGCTACCGCCACCTCGATGACCTCTTCCGTCTCCGGTTCGGGCCTGCGCCGGACCTCCCCGACTGGCACAGCCTGATACGTCGCCGTGTGTCAGTCTTTGAGATGGATATGGATCAGATTAGGTCTGCTTTGTATGTCATGTATTCTGATGACTCTAGTGCCACTGGACCCTATTACCCTGTGTTGCCTAGAGTAGGTGTGTCCACTGTGCGTAGTCTAAGCTCCGCTGCTGTGTCAGGCGTAGGATCTCCTGCTTTGTTTAGCCTAGGCTACACGCTAGTGCCCCCCCCCCGGCTGACGCTACCGCCGCGCTCTCCTTCACGCTCGACTCTGGTGTGTCCGCCTGCTTCTTTCGCGACCCCACTACGCTCACGCCGCTTGCCGCCCCCGCCGCTGTAGCGCTTGCTGACCCCTCCTCAGGTCTGGTAGCTGCTCATAGCTCCACCACCCTTCCCTGTACGGTGGTTCCCTCGGGCTCCCTTACCGGCTTGCACATCCCCTCGTTCTCCAGGAACCTAGTTGGTGTCGGTTGTCTTCAGAACCTTGGCATCACTACCACATTCCCTGGACATGAGCGGTACGCAGTCTGTACCGAGGCCACCACGTTCCCCCGGGACCCGGTGTCTGGCCTGTTCACGCCAGACACCGCGTCCCCCCTGGTGGTAGCGTCCCCTTAGGTGGTTGCGTCTACCCAGGTCGCCGCAGCTTGCTCGTGTCGGTTGCTCACTCACCCATCGCTACTGTGGCACCACCACCTAGGTCACTCCACTCTCCCACGTCTCCGTCACATGTCCCATCACGGTCTTGTCTTAGGTCTCCCTGCGTTGCTCCTTACCCTCCCTCCCTCGCCCGCACCTCTGTGCACGCCTTGCGTCAAGGGCCGGCTGCGTCGTGCTCCTCACTCCTCCTCGTTTCCCCCCATTACTGCGCCACTCTAGACCCTGCACTAGGACATTTGGGGACCAGCCCCAGTCCTCGGACCGCGTCGCGAGCGCTACTTTCTAGTGCTCATCGACAACTACACGCGCTACACCACGGTGTTTCCCCTGGAGCGGAAGGCCGACGTGCCTGACGTTCTTATCCCGTGGGTCGTAGCTGCGCGAGTCCACCGCGCCCTCCCCGTGCTGCGTCTCCACTCCGACCATGGTGATGAGTTTGCCTCCGGTCGGCTTTGACAGTTCTGTCGTGCGGAGGGCATCACCCAGTCGTACACCCAGTCGGACTCCCCGCAGCAAAATGGGGTCGCTGAGCGACACATCGGTTTAGTCATGGAGGTGGCTCGTACCTCCATGATCCATGCAAGTGCACCTCATTTTCTGTGGTCGTTCGCTGTTGGCTACGCCGCTCACCAACTTAAGCTGTGGCTGCACTCTTAGCAGTCGCAGGTTTCGCCGACCCTCCTCTGGACCGGGTCCCCGAGTGATGCTTCTCCTTGCCTCGCACGTTACCGACCTGACTATTCCTGTCTCCAGTCTTGACGCTCTTGTCGCTACCGTAGCTAACTTTGCCTCTATCCGCCGCCTTGACTACGCCATTGCTCTGGTCTCTAACCCTACCCGTCCTTCGTCCGTCGGGGTGCACATGCCCTTGGCAATGACATCCTAGAGGACAGGCAGTACGAGGTAGCTTTCATGTCTGAGACTGCTCCCCATCACTGCTCCATGCTGCTAGTCTCTGAGGGTGACCCAGACGCTCTTGACATCCCAACCCCTCACAAGTACACTGAGGCGACCTCGGAACCCTGGGACTCGCAGTGGATAGGTGTCATGGACGCAGAGATGGCATCTTGGAGATCCACCGGCACCTACGTCGACGCAGTTCCCCAACCTGGGGTGAACGTAGTCGATGGCCGGTGGCTCTTCAAGTCGCGCTACGTGGCTAAAGGATTTACCGATCTAGCGTACGCCAAGGACTACTTAGATGCTGTCATCGCGCATTATTCCACCCTTGTCTCAGCCTCAACTGGCCGCCTGATCCTCCCCATGCTTTTCCCTGACCTTGCGGCCTTCCCCACTGCCGCTGACCTTGCCACGCACCTCCGTGCACTGGAGGCTAGCTACCGCGCCGCTAGCACTGAGGCACAGCTCACTGCCTTCTTGCTGCCGCTCTGCGCTACCCTTTACCTCATTGCCACGCGCCTGCCTGACCGCCTAGCCACTGCCCGCGACTACTTCCTTAGTCAGCACCCAGGTGACCTCACCCTCCCTACCTTTGTTACCGCCCTGTCCACCATAGAGACCCGCCAGCGCACTATCGCTCCGTCTAGCGGTGCTGCGCTGGTCCCTATCTTCCAGGGTTGTGCTCTCTCCCAGTGCACTTGCTCTGACGTTTCTGCTGCTGTTGCTAAGACAGCCCCTGCTGCCGCCGCCCCAAGGGGGGGCGTGGTGGAGGGAAGGGTGTTGGGGTGGTGGGGGTGGTGGGGGTGGTGGGGGTGGTGGAGGTGGGGGCGGGGACGGTGGTGCA